AACCCCTCTAGCATAATTTGTCATCAGTGTTTTTTTATCTTGGCCATTCTTACAGGTGTAAGATGGAATCTCAGAGATGTTTTGATTTGCATTTCTCTAATGACTAAGAATGTTGAACATTTCCTTAAGTGTCTTTCAGCCATTTTAGATTTCTCTGTTGAGAGTTCTTTGCTTAGGTCTGTACTCCATTTTTTTTTTTATTGGATTATGTGTTCTTTTGGTGAACAAGATCTTGAGTTCTTTGTATATTTTGAAGATCAGACCTCTGATGTGGGGTTAGTGAAGATCTTTTCCCATTCTATAGGTTGTCATTTTGTCTTGTTGACCATGGTCCTTTGCTTTAAAGAAGCTTTTCAGTTTCAGGAGGTCCCATTTATTAATTGTTTCTCTCAGTGTTTGTGCTGCTGGGGTTGTATTTACCCTCTTGGTCTCTTGACTCAGGCAACCTCTCCTGGTTGGTCAATGATTTATCTCTTGCTTTCTTTTCCCTTCTCTCCTTTTATGGTCCAGTTTAGCAGTTTAGTCTGCTGACTGTGTTCCACCTGGACTCTTCCATCTGCCTGCTTTCCCCTTTATCTCTTCAATAAAAATCATCTCCTTACTTTAGGAGGAGTCATGTTAGTCTCCTTTTTATTTCTTCTTCTTCTTCTTCTTCTTCTTCTTCTTCTTCTTCTTCTTCTTCTTCTTCTTCTTCTTCTCCTCCTCCTCCTCCCCTTCCCCCTCCTCCTCCTCCTCCTTTTCCTCTTCCTCTTTCTCCTCTTCCTCCTCCTCCTTCATCTCCATCTCCATGTTCTTTTCCTCCTCCTTCTCCTCCTCGTTCTCCTCTTTATTCTTCATCTTTTTATTCACTACTATCTTTGAAAACATTTTTTTTATGTTGGAAACTTTTCTTAAGAGTTGTGAGTTAACTTCTAGAATAGGGTTCACGATTAAGGTTGCTATTTAAGATCAGCAAGCATGTTTCTGCTAAAGGCCAGATAGTTGAAAGTTTAGGCTTTTAAACAAAATATTAACTGTTTGAAATGTAAAACCCATTTATATCCAATATTGAGTTTAGGTACAGGCTACAGCCATACTTGACTGATGAATCATTGTTTGCCAGTCTAAGGTGTGTAATTCTAGGGCAGTCTAACTATGAAGAAAGGGTTTCAATATGAAACAAATATTAAAACAAAGATTTTCCCAGTGACTCCAGATACCCACCATCCAGATGAGATAGTGAGATTCTCTCTATGAAAACTGTCCAGTTTTCCTAATTGAATAATTATTGTAGTTTTTTTTCTACTTTAGGATTTTTTTCCTCTCAAAAAATTCACAGTCACTGTCGAAAGACTGGAAAATAAAGAAAATATCAGACATAAAAAAGTGTGCTTTATCAGAGAGACTATTTGATTTTCCAGTTTTAAATTTATGTATTTATAATTTCTTAACATGTTATTTGAAACATTCATATTTTAAAACTAAATGTTGAGGGGTAGACACTTTTACATATCATATCATTTTTTTCCTTTGACTCTCAAAGCGATATTTGCCGACTTTAGAATTCTAGGAAATATAATTAGGGGTGGAAAAATAGAAGGAAAAAAGCACCCTCAAAAACCTCAGCACCCAGAGGCATAAGTTTACAGTGTAATACTGGAGCAGAGTTTCCAAGTATTTCTACGTCATGTCATGCTGCTACGGAGCTTAAAGTTTAACTTGTTAGCTTTCTATAATTTTTAGAGGGAGCAATTATTTAAAAATTTCTTGCTACACAGAGAAACTCTGTCTCAAACAACCAAGAAGAAAAAAAAATCTGTTTTAAGAATGAGGTATTGAATTTCTTCGTCCCCAAAGAACTTTGATAAAATGTTCAGGCACAAATATCCAAGGATATTCAGTTATATAAAAAGAGATGTTATGTCTTATGCTTTTAATCCTCTTAAGTTGCGTCAGTTGCCACATTAAGTGCTAGCTTATGTCCTTAAGTAACTTGTAAACTTCTATTTTTGATAACTGTGTTTGTCCTGCTGGTGATAAGAGAACACAGACCCGTCACCTCTGTATTTTGAATTTCATACCACACTGGAAAGACACAGAAAGGCAAGGCCTTTAAGTCAGACGTTAACTAACATCTTGATTTGTGCAGAGATTGAAAACCAACAAACAAATAAGCAAACAACAACAGCAAAAATGGATGCTGTCTTCTGTCTTTTATGGTATCAGCCATTGCTTTATTCCAGCATGGGAATGCTGATGAATTAGGAAGACAAAAGGAGATTTTCCTGAGTCATAGAGCCTTAGGTTTGTCACGATACACAGGCCTACTCTTTCACCTAAATAGCCCAGTTAGCCAGCCATGAGTACACTGAGCTGATACCGATTACAAAATCAAGGCTAACAGTGTAGGGTTGGACCTTACTGACCTGAGAGGAAATTAAGGTCTCCAGCAATTAGGAAACTTGTTTATGATCATGCACTTAACATGTGATAAGGAGAAGCTACAAGTGTAGGCCTTCTGATTGTGTCATTTTTTCACATTTTGCAGCCCAAATCAAAAGAGATTTCCAATTAAAACTATTTATTACGTCACACACACATATTTTTATTACTTTGATTGGAAGACTTAGGTCTAGGCAACTAGTTTTTGGAAATGCTAGTTTTCCAAGTTATTGGAGAACTTCAGACCCAAAAATCATTCTGCTAACAAATATTACGCAAGTAGAGCTGTGAAGTTCAACTTCCAACAAGGTCGTTTTTTTGAACGCCTAGATGTATTTATCTCTACAATGACTATCATGACTTATCTTTTGTCTTCTCAAGAGGTGGCTACTGCATAGATGAGCTCAATGGAAGGAAGCGTGGGTCGAGAACAGTGTGGTCAGGAGATGGTCCCTGGGCAGGGAGACTGGGCTGTGCCTGTGATCCTACAGAGGCTCCTGCAGCTTCAGTTCCTACACCTACAATTGTTCCCTATTTTGATTCAGTGTTTAATATGGATTCCCTCCTACTTTAACGCCCAACCTAGGAGTCAATATTTTGATTCATTTCTTGGATATTTTGAGTGTACTTTTAAGAAACTTTGCTAAGAAAGAGCCCTGAGCCAGAATTGGTCAAACATACCCTCTTTTGCTTCATGCATCTGGCTGCTTCAAGACCAAGTGAGAAATTGCAGTTGACAGAGCAAAGAATAAACCAGAAAATAGGAAAGAAATTCCTTTCCATTCTGATGTTTAAAGAAGGGGCCAGAATGTTGATTCTACATAATTACACTTGACTGAAATCTCAACATTTTCACGAGGAACCTTTTATTACCTGAATATTACTAAAATAGCACAAGCCTTAACCTAGCCTATAGTCTATCTTGGTATGTGTGTGTGCGCGTGGGGGTGTGCGCACGCATGCCTTCAAAGAGAATAAAGCTACATGGGCAGTTATGCTGTAGCCATAGGAGATTCCCCTTGAATTTTGCTTGTTGAAGAAAGTGGTTGTGCAGTAATAGTTTATTTAATCATTTCCTCACTTTCATCTGCTTAGGTGTGTGGTGGAAAGGTAATCTATGGTGTTTTAGATAGGTCTTTACATACTTCTCTCATGTTATATACCACAGAGCGGTGGATAACCCTCCTGTGCATGAAGATTGACTAATAGGCTTTAAAAGGGTTGAAATGCTTCTCCACTGCTGCATCCCCTAAGTAAAAGTTTCAGGCCCGAGAAGAGCTAAAAATAATAACAATAATGAAGCTAATATAAAAATGATTTTTTATTTTATAATTTTAAGGAAGAATTTACTGATAAAAAGAAAGAAGAAAAAACACCTTTTTAAATAAATAAAGACCATCTTTACAGCTAATTGTGCCCAAAGACATGTTAAAAATAAATTACATTAAATTCTTTTGTTTTATAGACTAAATTATTTAGAATTATCTGTGATTGTTTTAAGTATAATGGAAAGGCACATATATTTAAATTATCCATTGATTTTAGAGATAAAAACGTTGACAGTTCATTGATTCTAAAATAGCTCAGCTTTTAGAAAGTAAGGTAGCAAATATCTCAGTGTCTCCCTTGACTTAATGAAGCTTTAAAAAGTCAACTATGGAATAATAAAAACTTATGAAATATTTAAAAAGCCTGGCTAGCAGTCTTTATTGGGATGAAAAATATGGATACTTGAGGCATTGTATCATGCATAACGATGCATTTGTGATTTATGATTTATAGAATTAGTGCGAGTAAACCTAGGACATGTCCAATAATCTAACAATTGAACAGCTATTAAAAGCAGGATGTGGCATATTTTGTCACTACTCACATGCTTTTCCATTGAACTCAAATCTACGTACCGTTATGTGATACATGTAGGTGATAAACCAATAGTTGGTGGATCCAAATACGTTGTTTACTACAAAGTGGGCATTGTGCAGTCTAGTGGGATAATTTTTATGTATCTAACACTAACTTGCTCCTTAATATATGAAGCATATATTCCCTAAGAGAAATTGTCACAATTACAATAATCATATGCAAATAATTCATAACAATTAGGTCTCTTATGTGGTCCCTATTTTGACCTGTTTTTTTTTTCAAAAGGGCCAACATGAACAGAAGTTATTGTAATGTACCTTAGACTGAACAAGCTGGAATAGCTAAGCTGACAAAATGTTGCCTTCTTGGAAGCTACATCTTGAAGTGCAAAGACCTTGGTTCTCCACCAATTCCTATAACGCCAACTAAGTTCATCTTCACTAAGAACTGGGGATTCTCACTGCCTTTTTATGGTATAAAAGGTTCTCTCAAAACTGTAATAGTCTCTATGACTGTGGGTGATGGTTCTATCTTCAAGCAACAAATTAATGTTGGGTGGATAATCCAGGGGAGAAAGAACTTCATTTACAAGATCACCTTCTCTCTGTGACTGTTATACAAGGGCTGCCAGCATTCTGCATCAAGAGGCGCTCATGTTTCCAGGCCCCTGAATTCAGTGTTGAGTCTCAGCAGACATCATAAGAAGTTCCTACCTGGACCAAGCTATATCCTGTGCGCTGGACCAGTGCGCGGAGGGCTGCTTCCTTCTGGGTGCCGCTCAATCCATCCCCGGATTTGTGATTTGATTCCATTGAGAGTGATTATCACCAAAAAATCAGGTTAATTAGGGTTGCTCACTGAAACCAAATTTAAGATAAATTAAGTAAATTGCTATAACCAAGTCCATATTTGAGTTCATGAGAAGGGCATCTTAGGATAGACCTATAAATGAATCATTAAGGTTATAGCTGCTAGCAACTGCATTCAAATAAGACTTGCCAAATGTTAAATCTTGCATTTATAATTATATATAAATTTAAAATGATCGACCTTTAAAGACGAAAACTGAAGAGTACCTGTTTTCTAATAAGAACACTGTCCATTAATTCTGAGTTCAGTTACCTTAAGATGTTGCTAAATATGCAAAGAAATTAGTTCCCATCAATTAAAGGACATGAAAGGAGATGGCTTAGCAGGTAAGAGTGCTTGGTGCTCAAGCATAAAAACTTGAGGTCAAGTTCCCTGAATCATGTACACAGCTGGCAACCCTGCATCACTGGAACTTGCTTGCCACCAACCTAACTCTAGGTTCAGCAAAAGACCCTGCTTCAAGAAAATGAGGTGGAGAGTGATGGAGCGGTGTGCCTGATGTCTTCCTCTGACCTTGGGTGTGCACTTGTTTATCATATATCCGTGTACATAAGTCTCTCTCTGTCACACACACACACACACACACACACATTTTTATATATATAAAAATATATAAAACTCAAAGGTTTTAGTGTTTACAGTTTACAAAAATGGTGTTTTATTTTTTAAGTATTTTAATCAATTAATTAATTAATGTGTGTGTATACATACAGGCATGAAGCATACACAGAGGTCAGAGGATAACTTGTGGAAGCAGTTCTCTTTTTCCACCATGTGGGCCTTGGGGACTGAACTCAGGAAATTAGACTTGACAACAAGTTCCTTTACCTTCTGAAATAGCTCATCTATCCAAAGGTTCTGCCCTTGTTTTTAATCTTGCTTTTCTACCTTGGTTAGGAAATTGGAGTCTTTTACCCAATAATTATGATTTGAGATTCTGTGGCAACTCAGCTTAGGTCATACTGTTAGAGTACACTCTGTTTCTATGGATAGTAAAATATAGGTGGATCTGTTGGTGGTTTACAGTTGTGCAAATTGGTGTGAGGTAATCTTAAACATAAATAAAACTGTAAAAGCTATTTTTGAAGATATATAAACTATCGTAAGAATTACATTTTGTCTAATGCTAGTTTTTTTTTTGTAAATGTTACTAAATTTACTAAATAAGTTGCTGCTTAATCAGGAAGCTCTCAGATCCTTCTGTTGTGCCTTACATACCCTGGAGGACCAGGAAGGACATGGAGAATCTGATAAGGTTATTTCTTTGGGCCTTAATAGCTTTGAGAGCAAAGTCTATAGTCTGTTGGCCAAGTTGCAGGTTTTTCTTTTCTAAACTTCATCATTTCCATTAAAAAGGTAAGAGTTCATGGTGACATGATGAATTCGGTTTTGTTTTTCGCAAAACCTACGTTGAGTTTGAGTTAATAATTAAAGGTTATTAAAGGAATTTTGACATCACAAAAACCTCTCAGCTCCTTTGGAATTCACTATGAAGTTCTGAGAAGTCGTTTTCAATATTTAAGTCTCAAATCACTGGCAATTTGTACATCAGAATGAAAGTCACAATGTTCAACCAAAGGCACTTTACAGATTAGGTGTGTTTTCCAGTGTCATAGCACTCAATTAATATGTGTGAAGTCCTAGGCATAAACACCAGAACTCCTAACCCAACCCAAAACAAAACAAAACAAAACAAAACAGAACAGAAAAAAAAAACAAAGCAAAACTAAACAAAACAAAAAAGAAAGACAAAAGAAGAATAGAGTTAAGGAAGTTGTGGAAGAAGCAGAGGCCCTGTTATGGGGGCTGATTTTCTCGGTGCCTTTATCTATGCAGCTAGATTGAACAGCAGGTGGACAGATCTGAGTCTGAATTTCAAGGGTGAGTTCAACCTGGGAGACCCTGACCTGGAGCTGACGTCTGACAGACGTTTAGTCTGGAGACTGGATGAGCTCGTGTAAGGACTGGGTAGAGGGGTGAATTCTCTAAGGCAGATCTCTAGATAAATAACTTCTAGAAACCAAGAGATAAGGAAGATTCAGCAAAGAAGACCTAAATGGAATGGTATAAGGATAAGAGAAGCAGGGTTTGAGGTAGTTTAGAAGCAAAGAGATCTGAGAATGGGGGCGGTCAGCTGTCCAAGGCCTACTAAGCAGGCAGAGGCCTGAGGTGGAAGATAGACGGGGGGGAGGGGGGGTTCTCTTTCTGCTTTTCACTGTGATCTCCAACAAGTTCCTTAGCTATGTCTCAAGTATGGAAGTGATCTTCCACAATCACCCGGGCGTAATGAGATTCACATACTGATAAGGCTTTGGAAAACCTCCGGGTTTGGTGTACCGGTTAGAACATCAGTAGGCATCGGAGCGTAGCGTCCATCAGGGAGGAGGAAGGAAACGCGACGGAATTGCCAAGCAGCTCTAATTTCAACTCTCGGGTTCTGCTGTGAAAAGGGTGAGTTTGATGGACAGCCCTGTTCCTCAGTTTGGATAAAGAGAAGAGTGAGATAAAAATAGAGCGGAAGAGGGTCCCAGGCAGTGGCTGTGTGGGGAAGATTCATACACGTACACGCCCACTCTGAGCATCAGGCTTTTCGTTTGTGAATTGTGGTAGGAACAGCTAAGAGTGGTTGTAGCGAAGATGAATGAGAAGATACTTCCGATGTTCCCCAGCACATGTGATGTAATATTCCTGCTAATAACTCATAATGGAGGACAGCTGTGAGAGACAGGGGCGGGCAGCAGAGAGATTCCAGAAAGGCCTGGTCCTAGCTCATTTTCTGTTGCTGTGATAACCTCCCTGACCAAAGGTGATTTAGGAGAGAAAGGGAATTTATTTCAACTTACAGCCCATCATTTAGGGCGTGGGTTCTCAACCTTCCTAATACTACGACACTTTAATACCGTTCCTCATGTTGTGGTGACCCCAGCCATAAAATTATTTTGTGGCTACCTCATAGCAATTTTGCTACTGTTATGAATTGTAATGTAACTATCTGATATGTAGGATATCTAGTATGTGACTCCCAATGGGGTTGGAACCCATAAGTTGAGAACCGCTGATTTAGGGAGTTCAGGCAGGAAATTAAGCCGAAACCATGGAAGAGTGCTGTGTCTTGGCTTGCTCACTGACTCCTGCTTAGCTAGCTTTTCTATACAGTGCAGGCCCACCTGATTAGGGATGATGCTTCTCGTAGTGGACTTACCCCCTTTTATATCAATTAGCAATCAAGAAAGTGCCGTGTTGACAGGGCAGTCTGATGGAGGACACTCTGACAGATTGTCCTTCACAGGATAATCTGATGGAGGCAACTTTTCAAATAAGGTTCCCTTTTCCCAGGTATCTAGGCTGTGTCCAATTACAGAAAGAAGAAAAAAAACTAACCAGGACAGACTTCCTGGATCATCTTCATCTGGAAACTATGGTGAAGGGATAACATGATATAAAATGTCAGGGGTCTTCACGAGCACTGCCCAGCTACCATTTAACAGTCTTGGGTCAATATCTCCACATTCTCTAGGATGTGTATTGCCTACTGAGCTTAAATATATAAAAATGGTCTCCTTGATCAAAGTGTGGTGGTCATATCTGCAATCCATGCCTATTTAGAGGGCTGCAGCAATAAGAATCATGAGTTCAAGGCTAGCTTGGGCCATAAGGAGACCCCATATTAAAAGAAAAAGGATGCATCCCCTTTTATTCTTTTGCTTTCACGCCAGGAGTAGATCTTTGAACCTCAATATCTTTATGTGTAAAATTAGGATGATAGTATTCATTATGTCATAGTTCTTCTGAGGATTAAACAATAAAATAGATGTCAAATGCTCAAAATGGCCTCTGGCAGTTAATACCTGCACAGTGTTGGCTATTATATCTCTAAATATCTCCATGTGGTAGATGAAGTCCACTCTTATCAGCATTACATCCCAGGTCTCCTTTCCTATCCTTCATGTGTCCTTCCACTTAGCACCAGCACACATCCTTAGATGGCCAGATTCACCGCTTACAACTTTCCTTTCCTATCTCTTCCAGCGTCACTGGCCTTATTGATTCCATCTAGATTAGACTGAAAGCTGTTTGCTTTGTGATGTCTTCTTTGCTGACTCCCTGGGTAATGCTAGGTGCCCTCTTTTCCGTGCTCTCAGGAATGCTTGTACAGCCCTACATTGCCACATACAGTGCAGAAAGGTGCCCTTGACTGGCATTCTCACCGAACTGTGAGCTTGCTAAATGAAAGGGCTATCTTGGACTTGTAGCTTGCCCCCAAAGACTTGATGCTATGCCAAGTGTTCAATAAACATATAAGGAATAAACAGAAGACTTGGGGTCAACAACTGACTTGATCTCAGTTAGAACTAAAATGGGCATGTACCAGTACTCATTATTTCTCATTAGTTCAAGTAACATTCTGTAGTTCTACCCTAGAATACACCTGCTTATATGAGAAATTGATTTTTGATAGTTTCTATACATGTTGTATTTATGACAGAGATGAGAGTAAATACTTCTCAAGGTCAAAGTAACTAAAACTAGACATATTTTTTCTCCTCTATGAACTTAAGCCTTTTCATCTGCCATATCCATTTTCAATGGATCCAACAAGACCTAGAAATTGTAGGTCAAGATTTCTTCTTTCTTCAAAGTTAAGGGAGGTTTGGAATAGGTCCCCTATCACCTAGCTGGACTGTTAATACAGTTCAGCCAGAGGGTCAGGGCAACGTGCTCCCTCAAGGTCTCTGGTGTGCATGGGACTTGGGTCAGGGAAGGTGGAAGGAGGGAGGAGGAAGAGAAGGAAGGGTATAGTGGAGGAAATAATGGCTTTTCTAAATCCATATCTCGCAGATAGAGATACATGCTGTTATGCAGTTATAACTGTGGCCCATGACAGAAAGTGAAAATCTATTTGATAACAAAATTTGGTGCCACACAGAATTGCAAGTTACACAGGAAAATCAGGACAGGATTCAAAGTGGGAATTGTTCCTTGGATT